AGTTACACACATGCACAGGATAAGATCCACACATGCACAGGATAAGATCCACACATGCACAGGATAAGATCCACACACGCACAGGATAAGATCCACACACGCACAGGTTAAGATCGTGTCCTGTTCATGTGAGGATCGCATATGTGAGTGTGTGAATCATCTCTCTTTTAGTTTCACAGATTCAGCCCCTAGGTTATAAGTAGTTTTTTATGGTTGACTAACTCTTCTTGAGTTCAATGGTCTAATTTATAATGAGTGATATCTTTATTTCTACTCAGGACAAGCAGGGCTCCAAGGATGTCACTATAATATAAAAAATTAAATCTCACTAAGCAAATGAAACCAAACAATCCAGGCTCTCCAAATTAATAAATACTGCACATAGATGGGCTTTGGACTTAGTATAAGTTTAGTTCTGATTGGATTTGTGCTCTTTGGTAAAGAGAAACATGCAAAGCCAGGAATTATACCCAGGCTCAGCTATGCTGGTTGCATGATGCTTGAAATTTTAGACATGGTTTCAAAAGTTTTAAAATTTGTTGCAAAATTGATTATAAAAGTATTTGCTCCACCCTTTTCTGCAGCCACAGATTCATCTCAGTTGTTTCAATTTAAAAGGTTTATTTTTTTCTACATACCCTGAATCTATGATTATAACAGTGCTTCCTGCTCTGCATTAAGAGTAATGATTGTTTACATATAAAAACCTCATTTATATGGAAATGTCAAAGGAAAAAAACATCCTAGTGAAGATGTGATATCCATGTCTGTGGAATTCTAGCTGAATGGCTGGGAAATCCTGTGAGATAATGTAGTTATATCATGGCTGCGTTTTGATGTAAGGCATTAATTTCACAGTCATTCCTCCATAAATTAGAACATCTAGTTTGTATTACTGGTTTTACATCTGAATTCTTTACATTTTATATGTATTTTCTACCAAAGTATATATGAAATATATCACTCAGCTTTCAGGCCTGTTTCTGTCTGAGTGCTCAGTTGTCTCAGGATGAGATCCTTTTGTTATACGTACTGGGGGATCACTAAACACACACTTTAAAAATATATACTATTTATTTGTATTTTCCTCTCCTCAGAACTTGAATATTATTTATTTCCAGCCCAGAAGTTTGAAGTTTCCATGTTTCTATACTATGAGTTTTCGCTCATCACCCTAACAGCTGCTTTCCTGTCTCATTTTCTTTTCCAGGGCTGAAAAAACCGAAGTATTGAGTGATGACCTACTGCAGGTACTAATAAGTCTTCATCGAATACATGTTTGCGCTAGAATGAACGTCTCTCTTGGGAAACAATCATTAGTGGTGCAAAGTATTCAGCATTCATAAAATTACTTTTACGAGACGACTCTGGAATGCCTTCAGGCAACTGTAATGAGGGCAGAAATTGGACTTTCTGCAATACATAAAGCTGAACGTCCCCAGTGATTGATCCAGGGTGTGGGATTGTAATTGACTAAAATAATGATGCCCTCTGTTGCCTTCTCCACTGATTTGGTTTGGTAATGCAGTGAAAGGCGTTTAAGCACAAATACAGTGTTTATATGCAAATATAAAACAGCTACAGAGTCAAGGTTTCTTTTAAGTTTTCTTAACTGAAGCCTTTTTTGTACTGTCAAAATCCACATTTGATGGGACACGTTCCATAGATTCTGACAAGTTTTTTCTATATTGTGTTTCAATTTTAGGTTGAGAAACGATTGGAGCTGGTCAAGCAGGTTTCCCACAGCACACACAAGAAGCTGACCGCCTGTCTGCAGGGTCAACAGGGTGTGGATGTGGACAAGAAGTCTGTCAGGTCACCCTCGGTGAGACTCCAAACTCCACGTGTTGCTGAAAACAATAAACACTAAAGAAAATCAAAATCTTAGGTTGTTTTTAGGTATCAACACTCTGGATGTTGCCTGCAACATGCAGAGAAATCTCAGGTTTTGGTTCATTAAGAGTGAAATTTGTCAGGATAATGCTATGAATTAATAATCCCAGATAAAAAAAAAGTTTAAAAAATATGTTTACTCAGATGAAAATCATCAAAAAGTCTCAGAAAAATCAGAGGAAGGAAAATAAAATCGAAGAATAGAGCAAAACTCAAAGGGGGGTAGTTTTGTAAATAAGAAAAAAAAAGCAAATATGTAGCAATATAGGTTTTAATCCACTGGAGGTAGATGGCAGGCAGAAACAGAACATTCATTCACAATCATTTTTCAAACAAATGAAAGCACTCTTATCTGCAAAAAAACAAAACAAAAAACATCCTTTGTCTTGTATTCCTGAAAGAGTGAAGCAGTAATGTGATTTCTCCACTCTAACACAGGTAGGCAAACAGAGTGAAAATCAGTTTTCCATTCTTTCAGATCAAAGGAAATAGTCCACGGATCTTTTGTTTGTGAGGTCTATTGTGATGCTAATCATTCGTGATAAATGGGATTTTTACTGTAATACACATTTTCAGCAAGCTTGTGAACTTGGTGTAACCTTTGGTAGAAATGTTAGAAATTGTACATTAATCTGTAATTTATTTATTTGTCTTATATATTTTCAGCTTTATTAATGAGAGGGAACAAATAAACACCTTGAACCTGCAGGGTTTGACTTCTCAATGAACTGATATTTATCCATGAAACAAACAATCTAAGAACATTCAGTGACAGCACAATAATTACCCAAGTGGTGAAATTAAAAAAGATTTTCTCATTTGCGTTACTAAAAGTGAAAATGATAAGTACGTATTTAGCTGTAGCATTTAAAGACTTCAGCAATATGTCTATTTCCAAGGGTAAAATAGATTAATACACACTGACAAGATTGTAGATTATTAGTTCATTTCTTTTAATACCCTTTTTCACAGGAGACGGCCATGTTGGATTTTAAGATTTTAGTATATATTATCTAATCTGAATGACCAACCTTTAACATCATTCCAGTTGAAATTTTAATTTCAAAATTCTTTACATTGGGAAAAGAAAAACAATTAAAATGATTCATGCACTTTTAAATACAAATACATATTAAGGTGTTTTGGTGGTCGGAATGTCCTGTTTTACTTCTCTTTCTGACTTTTGCAAAGGGTCCCACTGATCGCTGCGGTGCAGCTGCAGTGCCGGTGCCATAAGAAACCCAAATAATTAAAATCACTGTGTATACTCACAGCAGCTACAGGGCAATGTGATTGTAGTTACTGATTCTTTGTGGATCAAGTAACTGAATAATTCAAATAACAGAATTAACCCACCAACCTACAAGAAACCTAACTAATGAAAACAGAAAGAAAAGCAGAACAGAAACACAAGGAAACAGAAAGGCTGTTGGAGGATTAGAAGGGGATATGTATGTGCACAGATAACAAGTTTTGGCCAACAACTCCCAGAAAAATTGTAATCCCATGTGAACATCATTTTTTTAAGCGCTGTTTCTGCAGCAGGAGGCACAGCTGGGCCAGCCTGGTTGCAGGGTTCTGTGTGAGGGACTTTTTGCAGCACAACCTCACCACAGTTGAATCGTATTCAGTGTGATCCTGGAGTAGTGTTTGGTGGGTTAGTAGCTAAATGTGGTTTAAGGGATATTATTTTGATTTTGACTTGGTAAAACTTAAGTACAAAGCCTGAACTTTAGCATTGTGATAACTGTTTCAGCAATTCTATACTAAGGCTAGTTGTAAAGCTGAAATGACAGGATAACTAGCAGTACTAGAACTTGAGTTTTTGAATTTCTGTTATCTTCATCTTAAATCCACAATTCTTCTAGTGTTTATTTGTTATGTTCAGTAAAGTGACTCTAGGAAAGTATGGCTTTACTCAAAAGTTGTCATCTGTAGCCTCAGATTTGACAATTAAAGGGCTATTTCACATTTCCGAAGAAATTAGACATGCATTCGATCATCTCCAGCTTAAAATCCAAAATGGGTACGCAAATCAGATGTGAACCAATGTATTCTGAGTTTTTTCAGAATAAATACATATATATGTATATATAAAAGCTGAGATTCATTATTGTCACTAGAAAAACCTGAGACCATTGATGGGGGCAGAGAGCAGAAATCTCCCAGTGTGCTATTAGGGTCAGAACCACCTCTGTCCTTATATGTGGTCCTTTTATTTCCCCAAATAAATCAAATATAATCTTTCGAAAAGTTAAAAAATGATGGCTTAGTGCTTGAACCCAGTTAACTCATTTAAATAGGATGTTTTTAACTCCAGAGTGAGGGACACATTTTGTTAGATAACATAGCATGTTCTACAGCATTATTTTTAGTTGAGACATTACCAGGTGTCGCAGCTGCTTGTTGTCTGTCACACATTGATGTGTTTCTTGTGTTAATCACAATGTTCTGAGATAACTGACACACTTAGCTACCAAGGCTGAATCAGTGAAGGTTTCTGCTTATCTCTCTGCAGAAGAAGCTCCCTCTCACAACGCTCGCACAATGTATGGTGGAGGGAGCAGCCGTGCTAGGGGACGACTCTCTGCTGGGGTAAGCGCTATAACATCCTTTTTATTCACCTGCTGAAAGCTGTTAAACTAAGGAGTATTGGATGCCATGACCTCCTCCCCCCTGATTAAACATGTATCATTGGTGAATTCAGGAAGATGCTGAAACTCTGTGGCGAGACGCAGGAGAGACTTGCTCAGGAGCTCATTTTATTCGAGCTTACCATCGAGAAAGACGTGATTGAGCCTTTATGCGACCTAGCAGAGGTAGGGGCACAGATTTCTTTCTTATATCTTATTATAAAAATAAAAAAGCTCTAATCCTTTTACTTCTAGTTTTATGGCTGTATAACGTTGAACCGTGTAAGTTATACAGTTAAGATCATAATATTGTGTTATAAATGCTTTAAGTAAAGGTTCTACATCTCTAGACTGACATGTAAATGTGCATATCTTCATCTGTTAAAATATTTTTCATGTTTGGATTTATTGCAAAATTCTTTTTCAGTCTGCTTTAACAATGGAAAAAGCAAATATAAATAGAGGGCAGTTACAATCCTTCAAAAATATAACAGATATGCAGACTTGGCTTGGCTGCAACTTAAGATATAGTATTTTGAAACTATGTGATTAGAGAGTGATTACTCAGAATTTTTAGAGGCATTTTGCTCTGTTAAAAGGCATTTAAATGGTGCTGTACTGTTAAAGTGAAAGTAAACATCATGGCGAGATCTACAGAGCTGTCTGAGGCCTTTAGAAAGAAGCTTGTAGCTGTAGTAGGATGTAAAAAAACTGAAATCAGCCTATCAGCTCTATCATAAATTGTGGACTAATGACAAAATCTGCAGCTCTGTCAGTTCAGTATGAATTACATTCAGCAATTCAGGTAAAGAACCTCATACCAACTCTTTGGACATGCGTTGTAACAGCAGGATCCCTTGAATTTTTTTGCTGTGTCACAAAGTGCTTAAAGAAATGTGAGACTACCTGCAAAGAAAATAAAACATAAAGCTCAATATGACATGAAAATCCTCCCAAATATCTCAATAAATCCAACAAAGACTGGCTGAAAATAAACATATGCAGGCATAAGCTGATCAGTTTTTCATTGTATAATGACTAAAAAAAGGTTGATTTTTTTAATTAACTCATCTTTTACACACAAAAAAGAATATTAACATCAATATTGTATCTTTTCATTTTAATGGAAGGAATACGTATTAGGATCCCTAATTTATTCCTATAACTGTGTTTTTCTTACGCTAAAGGATGCAAAGAAGCAGGTACTAGAAATCAAATAAAATCAAAGGAAGTTTAAATTTGGAAACTTAAGAACCAGGTTGTTGTGTGAATCTCACGGCCATGAGGTGTCACAGTGTTTGTTCCAAAGATCGAGCAGTTTATTGTTAGACAACTGCAGGGTTATGCTCCACTAGCCCAGAATCTGACAATAACCAACCTGTTTCTCCCTTCTCTGTCTTCTCAGGTGGAAATCCCAAACATCCAGAAACAAAGGAAACATTTAGCAAAACTGGTCCTGGACATGGACTCCGCTCGCACAAGGTGAGCATGGAGACATGTTTGACTTTATTGTGTAAGTGAGAGAGAATTAACAGCAGTCAAGGAACTTGGAAACTCCATCCCCTGTGAACTCGGAGCTCCTGAGGCTTCCCACTGAATGTCACTAGGATTTGATTGCACACCATGGAGGTTCTGTGATATTTAAGTTCCTTTCCCTGAACTCTGCTGATAGCCTGGGAAAAAAAATCCCTCCGTCAGTCACCTCCTAAATGTTCTTGTTTGAATCAGACCTTTTCTCTTCATTGTAACATCACTGCCTGATTCTATTGCTCAGCGTGATGTTAAAGTTGTTCCTAACAGCTTCCTGTTGAACAGTGATTCATGCTGATGCTATAACACATATTTATCTACAGCAAGATTTTTTAATACTGCCGTTCTGCTCACTGTTAAAAAAGCAAACAGCCGTTCAACAATGGTAACATGATTCATGGTATTTCTCAAATAGTTTTAAGAAATAAGAAATAATAGTTCTAAGCGGCTGGCTAGCTAAAGTGGTAGATCACCCGTCCTGCAAACAGGAAGCCTTGGTTCGTATCCGATTTGGGGGGAATGAGCTGCCAGTAAGGGTCCTTAGGCAAAACTCTTCACACTAATGCCTGCTTTGGGGAGTGGTGGCATTTTGCTTGGAATCCTGAGGTTCTGAGTTCAAGCTCCACTCCCACGGACTGCCACTCTGGCTTTCTGAGCAAGTCCCTTAACCCCACACTGCTCACCAAGGGAATGCAGAGAGTTAATTTTGTTGCTCTCTACTTGTGATAGTTTAATGACAATAAAACGCTGGAATAAAATAAAATAAAAGCTGGAAAGTAAAGTCGAAAAGGTGTCTTATTGATAGGCTGGGTGCAGAGATTGACCTGAAAGGATGTGCAGCAAGATACAAATCTATTATTGAGTGAAGGGACCATTTTGAGGTACAAAAGGTGACTCTTCCATGAAATAGAATTCAAAATATCTATTTACTTATTTGTCTAATAGATGATTCAAATATGGCACAGTGGGTACTGCTGTTGCTTTGCAGCAAAAAGGTTCTGGGTTTGATTCCCTTCCCGGGGCCTTTCTGCATGTAGTTTGCATGTTCTTCCCTTGCATGTGTTGTCCTCAGGTTTGAGTGTGTATCTGCGCAGTTGGGTGTCTCTGTGTTGGTTTTGGACAGACTTACGACCTGTCCAGGGTGTACCCTGACTTTACCCTGGAGATAGCTGGAGATAAGCTCATGTCCCACCACAACCCTCACAAGGACTAAGCAGGAGAAAATGGATGGATGGATGGATGAATTTTACTGTTAAATTGTAAAATTAGCAAATGAGTAATAAAGGTGTAACTGAATATTAAAAAAGACATTTAAAATGATCAATTAAGAAACCAAATTTAAAAAAAAAACACAATAAAAAAAAAATAGTTCACTTTTTTTTACGTTAACATATAGTGAAGTAATTATATGTATTTAAAGTTCATCAGTCTGTTAAATAATTGTTGGGGTTAGGCTGAAATCTGTGGGATATAGGAAGACTCTATCTCATAATAAAAGGCATTTCAATCAGTGGTATAATGTTACATAAATTGGTTATATCCATAACTCCACTACTTTCTGAACTTTAGCTAGCACCTTTGTCTCCTGTCTTTTATTACTCGACAAACTGATTAATCCAGGTGTGTCCATCCTATCTTGTCATGGTTACTGAAATGACTGACCTTGATTAATCACTGAGTTCGAATTCAGCGGCTGCATCCTCCGAAGGCCAGATTCGTCCGCCGATTACATCATACGAAGAATCCTTGTTATGCGGCCCACAAATGCAGCCTTCTTTTTTCCCGTTTTGAAGGACAGGTCCGCTTTTTCCTCTGTAGCCTTTGGTATCCCATGATTTATTGCGAGTCCAAGCAAGCCGGCTGCAAGCTGACTGCTCTGGGCTCCGAGGAAATAGGTTCTTGGCACCGAACAGTGGTGAATATTATAGATGCAGTTTAATAAGATAAAAGTATATGAAACCTTCCATCTGTAATTAATGAAAATAGTTGTTTTGAATGGTTATTGAGTCAGATATGTGGTGGATAATGTTTTGTTTATGTAACTGTTTTATTTGTCCCTGTGCAAATGAGTTTGGCTGACATTTAAGCTCAGATTCCAATATCTATCTGCAGTGTAGGGACTATAAATCTGATATTTGCGATGACGGTGCTGCTGCTGAAGCTCCTCCAAAATGTTAGCACCCAGAGTAGTAGTGAGAAGTTCAGCATCCATTCTTTGACTGCCTTGTGTGTCCACTGTCACGGTTGCCAAGCGAAAGAGTGTATGGGGGTTGAAAGCCGGAGAAGGCTGGACCTGTTTGAATCCATAGCCAAAACTCGGTCCAGGGAGACCGGGTCCTTGGAGGACGCAGCCTCTGAAATCGAATACACCCAATATGTCTAGTAATGAAAGACAGGAAACAACGGTGCTGGCTAAAGTTCAGGAAGTAGTGAAGTTGGGCATATAGCCTATTGAAGGCATTTGAATACTTTAATTCTCCTGGGACAGGGTAATGTATGCAGTCTTTAACCAAAGATGTTGAATTTTAAAATAGAGAATCATCCTTTTTATACATTTCAGTTTACAGATGTTAGAAACACAGATGTTTATTTACAGTAAATTAGACAGCAGGAAAGGTAACTTACAGTAAAATTAATCAGTATCTTCTTCTGACAATGTTTTTTTTTACTAAAAAAATAGCCTTTTGTCTCAAATTTACATGCATCATGCTGACTCAGTGTCATATCAGAGTTATCATAGTTAGTGACATGCAGGATATTATGCAGTCCAGTCTGGCAGTTTTTAAAGTGACCCAAATATGAAGCAATTTCTCCCATCCTCCTGCCGTGCGCTGAACTCCTCTGGCAGTGCTCCATATTATCTGCACTCAGACAGAGAGCCAGGCAGCCAGACATGCAGAGGAAGGACAGAAGAATCCGACAGACGAAATCAGAAAAGGAAATAGCCTAAAGATAGTTTTAGCAGCCTGCCATTCTTTGCCTCCTTTTAACAAATGACTTCCCCATAGCAGCTTTTTAGCCTTAAAACAATGTCCCGTGAGTATATATTTTGTAAAGACGAACATGTTCTTTTTTTCTCCCAGATATTACCAGTCTAACAAATCGTCGGGAATATCCAGCAATCTGCAGCCAACAGGAGCTAAGGCTGACCACCTCCGGGAGGAGATGGAGGAGGCAGCCAACCGCATGGAGATCTGTCGAGTCAGTGGATTTTATCTCAAATGTCAATGGAAAAAAAAATGCAGTCTTGTGCAGGAGTATTTGCTTCTTTATAAATATCTTATTTCTGTTATAGTTTCTTTTGTCACAGTAAATTGAATAATATCATTAAACTAATTTAATACGAGACAAAGATAACCAGTTAAGCAGGTTATACATAATACCTTCTATTAGTCAGGAAAAAAAAGAACTCCAAACGAACATGATACATACGAAAATAGGAATCATCCTCTTGTTAAATCACAAATATTATTTCATTATTATTATTGGTTTCTGCAGCTGAGTGCATATTCAAAATCCACAACCAGGCCTGAAAATCTGAAAGTCACTTTAAAAGTACCTGCCTGACAACAGGAAGTAGGCTAAAGGAGCTCCAAACAACACATACTCCCCCTTCCAGCCAAGAAAGAGTTACAAAGAACTTCAGAGGCTTTGAGATTCCAGTCAAATGAGCTTTCTATAAATGTAGAAACAGAAATAAGTGAAGAACCTTCCAAGAAATAGCCAACCTAAAAAAACAAGTTTGTTCACAAACATAGCAAAATGAAGCTCAGGTTTAACCTAGTTTTGTTTAGGTTGACATTCATGATTTAACATGAAGAAAGTGAGCGGACCATTAAAGAGTTTGAACCATTACTGACTCAGTAGGACTGAAAGCTGCATCTCATTCCGTTCGGTGTAAAACTAGAATAATCTTAAAAAGAAGTAGATACTTCCATAAAAAGCATGGTG